CTTCCCACTTTCAGGTCAGCAGACTCCTCAGGGTGCTTTTCCCATGCTCTGCAGCTCTGTTTGCACCTGTGTCCTCTAATTCTTTATATAAATGAACATCCAGGTTTCTCAGGACGCGTTAATACAGATGCAGAGGTGGCGTGACAAGTGCAGAGCACAGACACAGGGACTTGTTGCATTGTTAGGAAAAAATTAAAGTGCTGACAGAAATCAAGTGTGCACATTGTAGTTGTGTTATTTGTGAAATGCATGGTCCTGCTATGCTCTGTGCTTGTGTTAAATGATCTCGTATTCCTCCCTTGCCTGTTAACTTACCACTTAAAATACTTTTGCATCATTTCAGATTTCTCTGTGTTGCTCAACTGTTTTTTCTTCATATTTCATTTCATTTTCTTCAGCTTTATTTGTTTACAGCTTATAGATGAACTGCCAAACCTTGCCTGTTACTCTCACTTAGGCTGCATTTGTTTCTCTTTTGGTCAGACAAATTAATTTTGAAGCTTTCAGCTGAAAGGCAGCAGTGTCCCATGGCACTAATGCCCAGTTTGCACATATGACTGTTTATTTGTGTGTAAAGACTCTCATTTGAACACTTAACTGTATCTGCCTTTCAGGTGCTGCTAGCTCGTTTCTCAGCAACCAGAATGTTTTAGCTTCTTCCATCTCAGCAAGCAATGGAGAACTCAGCTTCTTGTACTGGTAGCAGTCCAGTCAATAGTGTCTGCTGTTCCAAGTATCAAACACGTAGTGATTCTGAGGAAAAAACCATGAGCGGCCTTGGCCAACAACGCATGGAAAACATTCGGGAACACTCACAGAAAGGTGGGGATGTACAGAAGAGGCTGAATGAAGTGAGTTGCAAATTTAGGGGAGCTTCTTGAGTATAGGGGAGCTTTTGTCATTTTTGTCATTGTTGTGTCTTTGGAGAATTTCACCAGCAGCAAAATATTTTGGGCTCAATATTTCGAGCAGCTTCTTGGCTGCTGTACGTTGTACTTGGCCATCACGATTCCCACGTGCCATTTGATAGACAGAAAGAGGTGAAGTTTTTGGCATGATCCCTGTAACAGTGCTCCATGCATAGTCAGTTTGTGACTGGCACAATGTGACTAAGAAATACTTTAAAAAAAAATTAAAAATAAGAGAAACAAAAAAACCCTTTTCATTCCCATACCTGTGCTGCTTTCAGCCTCATTTTTTTAGGTTATATACTCGGTATTTTGGTTGATTTAACTTGGTGGTTTGGTTCTTTTTCTCCTTTAGACCACTGAGCTACACGAGCAACAGCAAAACAATTTAAGGCTGATCATTCCTGATTTGCAGACCAAACTGATGGAAGTGCAATTGGAAAGAGATGGGCTTCAGGACACCAGGTATGAAGGTAAAGATAGATGTACTTTGGAGAGTCTGGATGTGGGCTTTGGGAGGCACACCAGGTATCCAAAGTGAAAAAGTGGCCCTCAGGAGTGAAGACAGTGAGACCATGGTACCCTGATTCAGAAAATGTCCTATTAGGTACTGAAAAACAGCAATGAATGAACCAAAGTAGTACACCTATTAGGACAAAAATCCATGTTGTGAATCCTGCTTTCTAAATTATTTCTTTCGTGTCCAAATTTAGACGAGGAGAATCCCAGAGCCAAGAGAATGCAAAATTACAGCTAAAAAATGCTACCCAAGAGCTGGAAGCTGCCAGGCAGCTGCCAGAGGAGATACTGAGGGAGGCTGACAGCCAGACTCAGCGCCTGGAAGAGATGGTCCACAGCCAGGAGGAAGTACTTGTGGAACTGCGTGGCATCGTAATGGACCACGGAGACTGCACAGGCAAGAAGCTCAGTGAGCATGGGAATGTTACTGGCCTCCACATCCACAGCCTGAGCGCAGCATTTGCTGCCATCTTGCAAGATTTGGACTCGGAGGTGTCATTCCTCAAGGAAAAGGTTGTCCTGGTATGTAAAGGCAGTGCTAGGTTTGGGGTTTTTTCCTTCCAATACTCTACGTTCTGGTTTTTTTAGAAAATATTTTTGAAAGCTCTCGGTGAGCTCCCATCTGAACTGACCTAAGGAAATCCTGGTATGTAAAGGCAGTGCTAGGTTTGGGTTTTTTTCCTTCCAATACTCTTATGTTCTGGTTTTTTTAGAAAACATTTTTGAAAGTTCTCGGTGAGCTCCCATCTAAACTGACCTAAGGAAGTTATTATGGCATTAAGAGGTACAAATGCTACACTGTCATGAACTTGAGGTTGGGTTTAGTGCTAGAATTTAATCTGTATTGTGCATCTTTTCACAGTTCAAGGTGGCAGCAAAAGGGAGGAAATGCTGCTTTGAAAATGCCTGTTTAGATGGTCTTTAGAAATTAGCACTGTCACCTCTTTAGGTGGAAGAGGAACTGGAGTCATTGAGGAAAGATTCACAGACCCTGAGTCAACTTCTGCTTCACCAACATCTACATAGGTACCTGTTCTCTGTTTGTTTCGTTATAAAACATACATAGACAGTTTTACACGTGTTCCACAGATAATTCTTTGATGCTGATGATATTGGGGAGGAGGGACAGCTTGGGGGGCAGCAAACGGTATTTTTGAGGGCTTCATATTTGTTGCATTCCAGGTGTTTATTTGCTCGTGGCTTTCTGCTGCTTTTTCCTTGCACACTGGCAATTTCCAGTTTTATTCACTGCCTCAAAAAATGTGTTCTGGGGGAATCTGCACAGAAATGGTTCCAGTATGGTGCTGTGCATTTTTTTTGGAGAGTAGTTCCACTGTTAACTGAAAAGAAAATAATAAATGCAATCACTTGGGTTATTACCTCAGCTTTTTCTTACTGATTTAATTAAGAGCTTTGCCCTTCCTTTTCAATAAGTCCTAATTTCCCCTGTTATCTACCTGAAATATACGGTAAGCTGTTAAAATAAAAGGGTACGTAACTCAATACATAAAATTTCATTGACGATAAAACACCAAAATGATTACATTTTGACAACTGAAAAATATCATTGCCTCTTCAGTGGAGAAGTGGTTATTTGCCAAGGTTAAAACTATAACCAGTGTTTTCTTTTTAAAACGGGATTGAGCAGCTAATAAGTGAGCGTGAACAGGAGGTGGCAGCACCTGCCAGTGCAGGCAGCTATGCAGATAGTATCCAAAACCAGATGGAGATCATGCAGTATGTTTTCTGGTTATAATACAGAAAATGATAAAAGTAATCTTAATTTGAGAGAAAGCTGATGCTGCTGGAATGTTCTGCTCTCTGCCTTGCTCTTCTGGTTTCTTAGCATCTTTAGGTAAAGAGTTAAGCGTTAATTATGGATGGGAGGAAAAAAATGAGAATAAAAAGACACTGATTCTCACCAGGTACTCGATGGCTTAGAAATCAGTACTCAGATTTATCGGTTTAAAAAGGAGGATGTGCCATGCAGTGTTGCAGACATCAGATGAGATTTAATTGCAGTGTGTCTTACGTCTGACTTGCGTCGTTGAGACTCAGTAGCTGATAGCAAAATGCTTCTCAGGGTGCATTTGAAATCGGACTTAGATTTCCTAGAACTTACTTGAGGATAAATGAGTTATCATCAGGAATAAAAAACAGTAAGATTTCAGTTGATTTTATTTTATGTGAGGTGTCTCTCAGAGAGCAAATCTGACCAGTAAGAAAGTGTAGTTTTGACGTGATCTCACCAGAAATTACACTTTCAAGTAGTAAGTTTCAGTGGTCATACTGGTTACAGCAAAAACAACCAGAATTGTTTCATGCTTTCACGATGTCTACAGTTTCTGATTCCTCTATTTAAAACATTTCTTAGAGATCAAACAAGAACCCAAAATTCGGTGCATGCGCATCAAGCTGGTCCCCTGGAATCTGCAGTTTCTCAGCTGTGTTCGGAATTACGAGAAGCTAAGAGGATGTATGAAGACAAGGTGTGTATGGATTCCTACGTTGGGATTAGTGCCAGCTAACCTGGCTGTGTGGTTATGTGAAATGTCCTGGATAGATAAGGAAAGTCTTTTGACAAGGGATTGCTTCAGAAAAACTGTGTGGACAGTAAGATAAATTGCATTATCCCTGACTCTATTTGTGTTCTTTTCAAGAACAAGTTATATTTCTCTAACAAAAAACAGGTTTGTATTGAACATGAAATAGTTTTGCAGAAAGTATTGATAGCATCCATAAATGATGCCTTTTGGAAATACTTAAAGCAGTTCTGCACTAGAAACATCACTTACATGGGATATAACATAGGCAAAAAAACCTCAGGCTGGCCAGCACCTGTGTATTCGAACCATTTCTTAATCCTATTAGAAAGCAACAGTCTTGATAAATTTCTTTTAACTGTGCTTCTCCCCAGAGACCAATTTCTTTTCGGATGGTACAGCAGGTAATTGATGGAGGGAACTTTAACTTACAGTCCTGCCACGGAATCTCTGCCTTGTCACTAACCACAGCATTTTATATCCCCTTTCCATATTAAGTCTGCTGTGTCTTTCACTTATTTTGCTGCTTTGGATTCCAGTTTTATAAAAAATATGTATATCTTTAAATTATTTCTTATTTTGGTAAAAGGTGATTAATGTTTTCCTTAGAAAATGACCTGAAAACAGTTGGCTTTGCGCTCCCTTTAAAAATTAGTGGAGCAGACCCATGCAGAAATGCCTGATGGATCCAGATCTATCTTGCATTACAAGTCATGAGGATCTAGGCATCCTTCCCCTATGTGATATTGGAAAGGGAAGGTTCAGGTCACAGACGTGCTGTGGAGTTTGGCAGAGCTGATAGTCTCTGATCCAAACTATGTGAGACTGGAAAGGCAGGGATGCAGCAGGTCGAGCCTGTGGGGCCATGGTGTACGTGTGCTTGGATAGTGCAGCGCAGCAGGAAGGACCTTGTGTTTTACCATTGCCGTAGGTTTCCACGTTTATAAATTCCATTGATTCGCTTGTATCAAAGCTCACACGACTCGGTTTCGGAAGTGACATTTCCCAGCACCATAACTGAACTATGGTGGATCTGTAAATTAATCTCCCTTACTGTATTACAGCTTCAGTGAAGAGTACAGTATACAGCGTGCTTTTCACGTTAGATCTATTTACCTGAATTCCTTTGATTTAAGTCAAGCAATGCACAGGAAAAGGTCATATAGGATATAGCTGTAACTCTAGTGTATATTCCTGAGGCATGCTCCCTTTCAGAATGTTTACCTCTTTAATGCTTTTGACTAGAAAGTAGAATAGACTGAACTGCGGAGGTAGACTTGATTAAGAGACAAGTTGAGAGCTGGGGATCATTTGGTCTCAGACTGGTATGTGGAGTCATTCCAGAAAGGTGTGGGAGGGGAGCTAAAGAAAGCTTTTACAACTGTACGTCTCCCTTTTACAGCAGGCATTTCTCCACAGCTTCTCTGGTAGGAAAGCACCTTAGCAGCTATGATTTCCAAAGCAGTACATGAGAACTAAAGCCAGTGTAAGCTGTTGGTACTGGATACTTTCAGCAGTCAGGACATCTGGTGCTTAAGTAGGGGATATAAATGTACACATACATGTTTTCTGTTGGGATATGTCCTAATTATAGTTATATTTATGTATTTATGTTTGTATTTATGTTTATTAAAAAGGGATGTAGACTGGCCTGTCATCTCATACACTGCCACAGCTTGAATCCTTGCAGTGAAAAGGTGTGACAACCACTCAGCAAAACATGTATTTTCATTTAATGATTCCATATGAATTGCATTTTACTTGCATTATATTGGCTTTTCTAACTAGTAGTATTGCAAATCAAGTAAAGAGCTTGAACATTGGTTCTAAAGTGGCTTTTTCTCCATTCCATTCAATGTTTATGGTGCAGGTAAGGAGTTGTGGATCAGGGTGAGATCCCGTTCCTTCTCAGGAACCTCAGTTAGCTCTGCAATGAATTTGTGTTTGATCACTGAAAGAAAACAGCAGAATTTGGAATATACCGAACTGGGAATAATCCAGCTGAGCAAAAAGATGAGATTTGGACTCCTTTAAAGTAGGACCTAGAAGAAATCTGATGTAGTGTTTAAAGTAGAATTCTTCATTAATTTTTGTCTTTATTTTAGGTCGAAGATCTCAAGAAGCAGCTGCACGTAGCTCATTCAGAGATAGCAGAAGCTGTCATTGCTAACTACAACCAGATTCAGCAGTTGTTGGTAAGAACAAATTGGCTTTCTGAAAGCCTCTCCTGACTGCTGGCGCTCAGATGTGCGCATTGCCTGTTTCCAAAGTGCAGCAGCTACCTTTTAATTAACTTTGAGGATTATTTTTTTACTAGAAATTTGAATTGGCTGTGAAGAAAGCTTCCCAAAGGCCTTTGCCATTAGCAATACAGGATATTCAGAATTAAGATGAACTTTGTCATAAATTCAAATTCCTTGAATCTGACACAAATCGTATTAAAGATGCTGAGCCACCTTTGCATTAACCCCACAGTTTAGATCCCTCTGTTGATGAACCTTGATCCCACAACATTTATTTTTGCAAGATATATCCAGGATTTTCCATTAAACGTTACTGTGTGACTGAGAACATTCACAGATTGAACAGAGAGTCTCAAAAATTTTTGCTGCATGGGATTGTTTTAATCACAACTGGCTTTATGGACTAAAATTAGCCTTGCACTTCGTCTTTTCCTAAGATTATTCCTTAACAACTGAGTTTTGGGAGGTGGGTTTGTGTGGTTTCCTTAGGTTTGTTTGCCCAGTTAGTGTCAAAGTGCTTCTGAAGACGATACTGAAGTTGTTTTCTTCTGTATGGTGGTTTCCTGTTCGTGAATATGTTAGTATAAATCTTTTCCTACAGATTGTACCTAAAACTGGAGTCAGAATGAGAAGAAACTCATGTGAGGGTGACAGAGCACTGGAACAGGCTGCCCAGAGAGGTTGTGGAGTCTCCTTCCTTAGGTTTGTTTGCCCAGTTAGTGTCAAAGTGCTTCTGAAGACGATACTGAAGTTGTTTTCTTCTGTATGGTGGTTTCCTGTTCGTGAATATGTTAGTATAAATCTTTTCCTACAGATTGTACCTAAAACTGGAGTCAGAATGATCACTGCATAATTGAAAGTTAGGAATCTAATTTTGGGACCTCTTTGGGGTTTTTTGTCGTTGTAATTTCATTCTCTGAGCTTCCTGCTTAGTTCTCTACTTTGGCTTTAACAGCATGCAGGTATCTCCAACATCCAAAATAATAAGTTACTATTAGTAGAAGTGTCTTGATAATTCAGTTTGGGCACATTTTAAATTCTATTTTTAAAATTAGTAGTTTTGAAGGATGTATGTCAGTACTTGTAATGTTATTTACTTTTTAAATTACTATTTTAATTATGTACGATTAGGATTATGTCTGAAAAAAAAAATTCAGCTTTGGAGAACAGGTAACAAATGACTGCATGAAATGAGAGAGGCAATGAACAATTCTTAGTAGTGGGTATTCAAGATGGGTGTTTATCAAGAGAAGCCTTCCTTGGCGTGTAATGTGGGGCTTCATTCTTTTTGATCTGATGTTGACAAAATACAGTTTTTATTCATTTTGTACCTCACAATGGTCTCGGTATAGATGTGAATGACATCAGAGACTTCAGTGTTGAGATGCTACATGCTTGAAAAATAATTAAGGTTGGAAGGAAGCATAGGATGTGTCAGGCCAGATTAGCCAATATCCCTGTTCAGAGATGTAACCTTATCATTGAATGTTGCCAAAAGAAAAACACCAAAATACGAAGGAGTAAGTTGACTTTAATTTCCTGTAGGCTGAACCTCATAAAAAAGAAATAGAGCTGAGCCTGGAAAAAGAGCAGAACAAGCAGTTTTGGGATCAGAACACGGACGTCAGCATCAGCATCGACCATCTCAGGAGAGAATTAGACAACAAAACCAGGCAACTGCAGCGCGTGGAAAACACTGTGAAGGAAATGAGGGCTGAATGTCAGGGACAAATGGAGCGCCAGGTTGGTGAGCAATGGGGCGGTGCCAACATTTTCCTTCCAAAGATGCAGATACATGACAGTCAGAAGTCACATCTTTTTTCTATTAGTGAAGCATTGTTTTTAGTTTTGATTTCTGACATAGAAGCCTTAGGAGAAAACAGAAGTTCTGCTGAGAGTGTTTGGTTTTGATTGTAAACCTCCCAAAGGACTTTGTACATGTCCAGAAGGTTTGATGCTGCCAGATGTAACACACAAGCGGTTGAAGGTATTGCTGTTTACAGTGGTGGGCACCTCTGTGAGAATAATCAGTAAATTAAAGGCCTTCCTAATGTCCTACTCTATCGAGTGCTTGATGAAAACAGGCTGAGGTTTGTGTTGATAACCCAAAGCTGAATGCAGTGCTGTGTCAGCAAGAACTCCTTCTCACAAAGTATATTCTTAGACACTGACTCGTGGTATAATCCTCAGCCCCTCAAAAAATGAGCTTTAATTAAGTAGCCCACTGGCATTTCAACTAGTTGCATTGCATTATGAGTAAGGATCAAGTTAGGTTAGTTCCTTTATTTTCTACCAAACTGCAGGCTCATCCTACCTTCCACATCCTTCTACATTTTCTCAATCCATTATTTTTCCTTTAAAATCCTCCCACTGAGAAGTTTGTTCTTTTCTTCTGTTTCTCTTCTGTACTACTTGCAGTTCCTGAATCCCAGTAGTTTTTGCTGTAAGTGGTGCACATTTCTGTCTTCGGGAATAAAGTTGGTGGTAAAATATTCATGTATATACAATTTTACCCAACTTACAGCACAGTCAGTTTAGTTTTAACATTTAAAGTCTTTAGCCTCGGCTGCTCTAAATTTTACACTAACATTGCTGGTTTGTTTATCTTTTTTTTTTCCCATCAGTTGAACATACTTCATTTTCTGTGCTGAAAAAATGCAATATGCCAAGCAATATTTCATGTATTAAAAAGGGGAAGGAGGAAAGAAAACCAGAAGAATCCCATTGTCATTGTAGACCAGACCATGCTGACCTGATTTTCCTGTAAAACTCAGATGCATAAGATGAACTATAGGAAAAACATTTCTAAGGGTAGAAATAGATGTTTCTCTTGGTTGATCCTTTTATTGCTGTTCTTCAGATGGCTGCAATCAAGGAAAAAAATGAAAGCCTTAGGAGAATCTCCTCTTTGACTGTCCAACTGGAGTCGACCAAGGAAACACTGTGTAAAGCTAAAGAAGATCTTGCAGCCAAGCAGGTGGATTTGGAGACTGCTGAGAAAACAGTGTCAGATCTGACCGCCTGTCTGCAAGAGAAAGAGAGCGCCCTTGAGGTTACCAGTAAGGAAGTCAGGGAGCTGCATTCACAACTTGGCAGTAGCGTGCAGGAGCTCCAGCACCTGAAGGAGGAGGAGGAAAATATACGGCACGTGCAGTCGGAGTGTGAAACACTGAAACTGCAGGTGCTGGAGAAGGAAAGGGTTATTAACATCTTCCAAAAACAAGTGGATAACATGACCCAGATTGTGGGCCAGCACGGTCGAACTGCTGGGGCCATGGAAGTTGAGAAATTTCAGCTTATAAAAGAAATAAATGACTGGAAACTTGAAGTACGAGAACTTAAGGTGTGCAAATGGTGCTGTTATTTATGTTTCTATAAGATAGTAAATGTTTTCTTGTTTTAAATCTGTACCCTAATGTGGGTTTAAAACCAGTCAGACAAGGCACCTTGAATCCTAAGGTATTGGAAAAGTTAGTGGGCAGGGAAGACTTTAATTTTGTGATATTACCACCGAAACTGAGTAATTGCTGATGCAAAGCAGTTGCCGGAAGGCTTGTGAAAGCTGAAATGTAGCGTGTTGTCCTCAGTGATACAGTTGTCCATGCAAGTAACAGAACCAGAGATACAGGGTGTTACTGAGATGTAACAGAGAGTGAGCACTCAGAATTCCAAACTGAGGACACTGTTTCTACCTGGTTATTTCTCAGACAAGAATGGCATGATTTGGCAGCCTTATGCAGGTCAGCAGCTTCAGAAATATTTCTTTCCTCAAACTGTTTTCTGACAACTGAAATTTAAAGCAATGATGATGTCTTTATATGATTATGTATATTGCACATAGTTACTGTTGGTTTTTTATGTGACTAGATTGCGAAGGATGAAAAAGAAGCCAGAATACATGAAATGGAGACCAAACTGAGCAAGCTGGAAGTGGAAAAGGTTAAACTGGTAAACACATGCACCGAGAGGCTCCGTGCACTTCATGATATGAAACTGGAAAAAGCCCAGCTGGTGAATGAAGTCCGAGCCAGTCAGAGCAAGCTGGCTGGCCTTGCAGGTAGGGAGCCTCCGCTGAGCTCTGCTGCTAAATTGGGCTGATGGTAAAAATAGATGTTAAAAGGGTCAGCTTGCTTGCTGAACCCAAATATGGCTGCTGGTGCAGCACAAGGGTCCCTGCCAGCAGGGCATGGTCAGATTGCTGCAGGGAGCTAAGTCATGGTTTGGGATTCTGGCACAAATGGGGATACAACCTTCATGGCAATCTCTCACTACCCTGAGCAAAAAACCTGCCTGACTCTGGAGGCCAAAGCAGCAGATGCAGTAAATCATAGAGTAGAAACTTCACCACTTCTCCCTAAGTGTTGTTTAGATCCCATTAACCATCTGTGGTCAAATCATAGTGGAACTTTGCTTCTGTTTTCTTGTGGATTTGCTACAATGTTATTTAAAAAATTATTTTAAAAATGTGTTACTGAACTCCAAGCACTGTTTTCACAACTAATGTGTGGGGAAAGTGATCAAGACAATATATATAATAAACAAAATAAGGGGCTAGACCTGAGGCAGCCACCAGAATTCAGAAAGGCCTGCCATTAAATTGGCACTGCACCTGAGTCAGATTATACTGTTCACGCACTTTGCTCTCTACACAACCCTGTAAAATACCCACTGGTTACATTTGTTTCAGCTATACTTCTAAACTTGCTGAGTTTTGTAAGAATTAAGCAGTGTGATGTGACATGGAAGGTCTGCCTTAGGTTTGTGTAGTCCTATCAGGATGAATGAGCTTGACAGATCAGTTCAGACCGAAGTCTGGTTATAAGTGTGGCTGGAGGGAAGGATGACCAGGGCAAAGTGCTGTTGATACAGTTAAATAAAAGTTAATACCCTTAACTTCCACAATATGCAGTTGGTTCTAGCAGTAGGAGCTCAGAAATGGGGATTTATATCCCTTTTTTGAACTGTTGTTTTGGTGAGCAGCCAAAGAACCCATTTGTTTCTGATGAAACAGCAGCTTTGCTGACAGGCAGGACAATGAACTACTTAGTAGTTAGCAGTGGATGTTACTTGCTCTGTGTCTTAGCTGTCTGCATAGCTAATATTCCCTTTAAAAGGGAGCAGGCGACAGACCAGTAATCATAGTCTAGAAGAATGATAAATTTTTGTCATCATAATTTGAATCTTTTGTTATGCTCACCAGAGGGATTTCAAGATTTGAAGAGGAATTACCAGAAAAAAATCAAGGAGATGGAAAAGACTGCAAACAGATGGAAAATGCTGTTGAAATCTGCTCAAGCTGAACTGGAGCAGACCAGGACTGCTCTAAAGACTATGGAGGGGACTGATGGCCGTGGTAATTATGGATTGAACTTCCCCTGAATCACACACTTTTTAATAGAATTTTTCTAAGTATTGATCCCTCAATAGATGTTGTAATAATAATTCAGATGCACTGTGTAATGAATAAACAATATTGATAAACAATATTGATGTCCAATGCCAGGACAAGGGGCAATGGTCCCAAGCTGGAGCATAGGAGGCTCAAGCTGAAGATGAGGCCAAACTTTGTGAGTGTGAGGGTTATGGAGCATGGCCCAGGCTGCCCAGAGAGGTTGTGGAGTCTCCTTGTGTGGAGACCCCCAAAGCCCTGGCCGTGTTCCTGTGTGACTGCTCTGGTGATCCTGCTGTGGCAGGGGTTGCACTGGGGGAGCTTTCCAGGGCCCTTCCAACTCCTCCTATTCTGGGATTCTGTGAATACTGCAGATGTTGACATATTTTTATTTTACCATTTACTGCATACTGTAAAACTTGGACTGTGAGTTAAGTTTTCTCTACTGATCTTTATGCAGACTGGCAGGGAGTGTTGTTTTCTTGTGTGATGGGTCTGGTACCACAACTTTGGACAAAACTTCTGATCCTAATGGGTGATTTGCACACATAAGTGACTACAGGATCCTGGTTCAATTTACTTATTCCAGCATACTGCTGATAACTGACTTCTGGAGTCTTCTTGTCAGAACTCGGAGTGCACAATCAATGTTGTTCATTAAGAATAAACCTTGTGTTTTACAGCAGTGAAGGTTGCAGTGGGAATGCAGAAGCAGATCACAGCCAGGAGAGGACAGATCGATGCATTGCAGAGCAAGATTAAATTCTTGGAAGAGGCAATGGCAAATGCAGCTAAGGTCACAAGTGCTCCAAGTAAAAGTATTTAGCTGTATTTAGAGAAATTGTTCTTTTGAAGAAATGCCTGGCCAGAAGCACAACTGACCCAAGAAGGGCCAGGGAGAATTTTACTTGATGTGATGGGCAGCTTCCCTGGCTTCCCTCTAGTATTTATTAGGGAATATCTCCATCACCTCAACTTCTGCAGTTCTCATTGCAAACTCTGTATGTCGGGGTCTGTGTAACATACTGAGGTCTTTATAGCATTTTCTGTGACAAATCGTTCAATTACCAATAGCTGGAGTTTGTATCTGTTCATTATGACCTGTCATCCTTCTTTACTGGCTTTGGATCCTGTGGATCCTGAAGTTTAAAACTCTAGTTTCAAAATCAATCTAATATCTGAGATATTACTTCATCAGGACCAGTCCAATTGTACTTTCCTTTATAAGACTTCATCTTCTTGTTGGAAAAAACCTCACTTTTCTGCAAGATGCAGTAGCTGAGCCCTTGGAAGAATCAATTTAGATCTTTTAGAATAAAAAGTGCAGAAAACAAATATGTATTGTGTAGGTAATTACAAATTCTTGATTCATCCTTTGTGGTCCTCACCTCTTTAAATGCAGGAGAAGCATAACCTCAGAGAAGAAAATAGTAAACTAAGTCAAGAATTGAGCTGTGTTACAGCAGAAAATACCAAGATTGCTGGGGAACTGGAGGTCCTGAGATCACAAGACAAACGCCTGAAAGAAAGAATATCTAGGCTGGAGACAGCCCTTGATAAGGTAACTTCAGGTAGCTTTCAAATTAAGAGAGATTGCTGGGTGCTTTCATCTGAGTCATTTGGGAAGAGAAATTGTCTTACCTGGACTGTAGATTGCAGAGAATTTAAAGCAGATTGACCTTCCAGGGAGCAGCACTGGCTCCTGCATGGCTCCTAGCAGGGGCTGCACTGGAACTGAGTGTGAGCAGACACTGATTCACCACTTTTGACTGTGCTCAGCCCTTTCTGGAGCCTGAGTCTGCCAGCTGTGGGTCCCTCAGGGTGAGGGAAGTTTAGCACCACTGTGTTGCTCAATTTGCCTTTTTCAGTTGAGCTTTCTGTTGCTGTCACACCTGAGTATGTCTCGAGGTCAGGCTTGATGGGGCTCTGAGCAACCTGATCTAAAGATGTCCCTGCTTGCTGCAGGGGGTTGGACTGGGTGACTTTGAAAGGTCCCTTCCAACCCAAGGTGTTCTGTGATTCTGTGACATTTTGGTCCAACTGACACACAAATCCCAGGTGCCTACAGGTGATCTACTTTTCCAGAAGGAAGAGTCTTTTCAGCTGCTCGGAATTTGAGCTTTTCAGGATCTAAATTTCAAGGTAAAGTGTCTTTCTCAGTTAGCTTCATCACTTTAAAAATACAATAAAATAAATAAGTGTAACTGTGATATCTCCTCCCAAGCGTGGCATTTCTTATATTAAATGCTTGATGCCAGAATCTTGACTTTCTTTGCAGTATACATCACTGTGCACAGTGGTAGCCACCTGACTTAGAAGCTGAGACAATGGAGAGAGGTGCTCACTAAAAACTAGCACTTACGGTGCACTGAATAACAGTGCCTAGAAATTCACAATCTGGCAGGATGCTCGGATACGCCATCATAGAGCATCCATTGCAGAAACATCAGAAAGTGTAATTAGCCTTCTTGCTCATCATTAATAATGTTAAAATTCAAAAAGCTGCTGCTTGTAACCATACATCCACAGTGCCTGAGCGAGCCTGCCCTTGCTCAGTGACAAAAATAAAGAAGCACAGAAAGAGCAGGGCTTATTTTAAAATTGAAGAGGGAACTCTTCTAGTGGTAAAAGCAGTCTGGTTGGTAAAGATCTTTTACTTTATGTGCTTGGATTTAGTGCTTCCCCTGTTCTTGGTAACTATCCTAATAAACAATGAAAAATAGTTGAATTATTAGATCTGCCCGCACCTCTTCAGACTAAACTAGTTGAAAAGGAAACAACTTAACAAAGACAGGCCAGAAAACGTTACCAGCCATCCATTTTAAAGCCTCAAGTATACTTTTGTCTCAGTACATTTGAATTGTCTCATCCCAGAGGTGTTCAGTAAACCTAGGGCTAGGATTAGCTCCCTTCTGTGGTGTTAGGGTGTGCATGCAGGGATCATACAACGGGTTGGTTGCCTCTGTAAGCTTGGCAAGAAAGACATGTGGTCATCTTGCAGTATTTCTGTACTTGGGGCAGTAGGCAAATAAAGCATCTGTATGTGTACGTTTTTGTTTGTTTATTGGAAAGAAAACATGGAAAAATGTTACTCACAGACAGCAAAATTAACTTCTGCCTCCTGTATCCTTTCTTACAGGTATCCGTGCAGTTTGCAGAATGTCAGTGCATAATCCAGCGTCAGGAGCAAGAAGCAATGCGCTTCAGACTGCAGCATACTCTAGATTTAAAAGTAAGTACATTACTGAGAAGTATGGATATAGAGTTAAATTCATTTACTTTAAATCCTAACTTCTGGTTTAACCTCATTTATTACAGATTACTCTCAAAAATCTGTGTTCAGAGACCTTTTTTCATGTGGATTACCCCATTACTGCACAAGTCGTGTCCTTAATTTCAGTTCCTTTGAAGTGGTATTTACAGTAAGGGCATCAAAAGATCAAATAGCTACAGGAATATTTGATCTCGTGCTTCAGCTTTTAAAAGCATTTGGTTTCAGTGACACTTCAGCATCTTCTTGCAGCTTTAGGCAAATAACAGCTAGAAACATTCATGGCATTTTTATGAAAAATGACTTAGAGAGGCAAGGTCTATAGGGATGAGTAATGCCTTTTATGAGTGTAACCATTAGAGCTAGAAGTGTGGGATGGTTTTATTTTGTGGTGGCCCTGAGATGTCCTCTGCTTGAATGGTTCCAGAGCACATGTTAAATTTCTGAAAACAAATGAAACTACCACTATTGCATCCAGTTCAGTCACTGGGAAATGTTTTGAGAATTGAGTGCTGCGTATAATAAAAGATGTGGCTAAAAACGATGCCCTGTTGCAGAGGGTTTGCTCTTGATAACCTGCTTATTCTGCTTGGCTGATGTTCTCCCACAGGAGCTGCAGGGCCCAGGCCTCTCATCAGCTTCTGCTCCAGCCAAGCTGTGGCACAGGGTGCCTCTTGCCCACCTGCGCTCTGCTGTAGTGCCCCCTTCCCTGAACTTGCTGAGCTGTGCCCCTCGGGTGAGTACCTGCTTCAGACTGGAAACTGCACTCGAACTGGGATGTTCCAAAGAGTGAAGATAACATGGAGTTTCCAAATGGGAGAGCATCTGGTAGGAGAGTCCGAGAGTGAATTCTTTCCACCAAAGATGAAATAATTTTCTATACATTATGGCCTTTCAATTTTTTTTTTCCATTTGTGAAATACAGGCAGAAAACAACCAGACAATAAAAGGTTCTATAGATTGTAATAGGAATTTCTCTTACCTCTATCAGCAATAGCATTTATTTATAAATGATTATAATCGGAGGTATTGATCCATCAGTAGTGTTGTTTACACTTGGGCTTTTTTGCACTAGTACTTTGTGAAAATCACTTGTATTTGGCAGTCAGAATAGACTTGTACATAGTTCCTGATAAATTTCATCATCTGATTGACCTATAATACCTTTCATTAGCTTTTTAGTCTTTCTCCAAGCTGGCCTTCACTGATTTTGACCGATTTTATCCTAAAAGATACATCACTGCCCGTCCTTCCTTTTGCTTTATATATCTACACTTAGATTTAAATTTGATGCTAGTGTTATTCTGATTTTTCATTACGGAAAACATCAGCTCAAATATTTTAATTCTTTTTATTTCAAATCTTTTGGTATTTTCTGTGTAGGTTTTGTGTAATTCTCCAGAAGGGACCTTAGGTATCTCCCACAGAAATTGGTGAAGGTCTTTTCATTTAATTTTTCCGTCAAAATCTATTTGAGGCTGCAAGTTAGTACAGATTATTTTTCAGTAATACTTTCTGTTTACATTCTAATGTGCTGACAAACCTTTACATCAAGAAACAAAGGGTAGTTAATTCTGTGAAATACCTACAGCATCAGGCACTCCCATTCTCTTTTCTTTGAGTTAATCAATTTATACTTCTGAGTATTGAGCAGGAAAAAAGACTTGATTTTTTTGTGTAGTACCACGGTAAGACCCTAACAAGTTGAAGGAGAACTTGATTCAAGGTCTGCTTGAATCTTCTTGGTTCATGGGGGATTAGTTATTGTACAGAATGAAGCAGCTCCAGCACTTGAGACAGTGACCCCTTAGCAGCAGTGTGGGAAAGAAGCATTTGGTCTGACTCAGTATCACATTGACCCATGTTTTTAGCCACTTCATCCCACAAATGAAGTGTAAATAAGTGAGAGCAGTACTTTGAACATGTGAAGTGCAGAGTAGTCTGAAAAATCCAGTTCTTCACAGAGAAAATGGATTCGTTTGAACTAGACCTTTGCCTGAGGTCCTGATCAGTATAATAAGAATAATTCTGCGCTTCACCTCAGAGCAGGGCTGTGACACTGAAGTGGCTTTATATTTGCAGACGGCTCAGCTGTTACAGAAATGAATGTCCTGAAAACACCCTGACATACAAATGAAGACATTTCTGTCTTCAGAGCTGTGTTTGTGCACTGTACAGAAATACCTGGGATCACAGGTTAAAAAGGAGAAAACACAAGTTGTCACAGGAGCAAAGAGTTCTGGATACTGAAAAAGGTCGTGGTTGTATTGGGTAGGGGAAGTGTTCACAATTAAAGGCTTATTTTAGTATTTTTGACCTTGAAACTGTAGCAGTAGCCTCCTCACAACACTTACTCAAATCGCAGATGTTAGCTGTGTTCTCCCTCAATCACATTTAGTTGCTTTACACGTTTGTCTGATAACTTTCCAGATCGGACTGCAATCATATTCAGAGCGTATTTTGACAGTCTTTGAGTTACCATGATCCTAACCTCTACCACATCTTAAGTTACAAAAAATCCACCCCATCCACAAGTATAGAGGGGGAAAGAAATGTGTGACTTCAGCAGAGTATAGGTGAGAACTGAAAAAGAGTCCCTTTATAAATACTTCCTAACTGTATGATTTTACTCCAGATGTCTTCCAAGGCAAGCATTTTGAAGGAGGAACCACTGCAGGCTCTAAAGAAGATGTTTGAGGAATTAAGAAGCTCAAGCAATGACATTCCCACTGTAGATCATGGCAAGAATGATGGCAACGGTGGGAGAAAATCACCTGCGGCAACCAAGGGGAACACAGTGTAAGAGTAATATATTGTTATTTCTGTTGTGTGCTTGTATTGCCTCCTGAAACCAGAGTCTGGCCATTCGTGTGCTTCAGGAGCAGTATAGGATGCTAAACAAATGATAATGGCAGTGGTACCTGAAACAGTAAAATGAACCAAGTGCAAATTTTGATGTTTCTAATCCAAAACCTAAGGGTGCTTTGTAAAGGAGAAGTAAAATTCATGGCCTTTGATTAGGATGAAACTTACTTCAGCCATCAGTCTTCTCCCATAATACATACTGGTGGAATAAGATCAGTCCCAGTATCCTATGGATGCTGGCTTTTTTTGCCTGTCACCAGGTATTTTATTAAACAGAAGATGTGCTGGTTATCAACAGGCTCATTTTTGAGAGCTTAAATACAGAAGCTGTAGAGGCTTTTATTTCACTCCTGTACAGGAGTTTGATCAGACAAGCATCAAGGTAGTTGATGTTGTACCGCTTCCTGCCTTGACTTTGCCTGAGTCCTCTGGAGCACATCTTTATGACTACTCAGTATTCATACAGAATATAGTCCTTTATTTCCCAAAGATATGCATTGCTTCAGTGGTCTAAATTCACTCTGACTTGTAGACTTTTTTTAGTGAACTCATAAAACAATTTTACCATGCCTTTTCTTTCCTATCAGGATGTGGCTGCCATTGCACTCTGTTTAAAAACAAGCTTATCTCCTGAAAATGGGAAATGTAGCAATCCTACTGGCAAGGCCTTTGCTGTGATTTTAACAGTGATCTGTTTTTCCATGCAGGGAGGCTGCAGCAAAAGACTCTGCTACTGAAACCATCGTGGAAAAGGATACTTTTGGCCGGTGAGAAATGCTTTCACTTCGCTGAGTAACCTGCTTTTTAAAGTACTCATCTGAGGTTCAGTTTCTAAAGCTTTTTTAATACAACAGCAGCACTGAGTTTGTATTGTTTTATTCATAATGCTAAAAGCTCCCTGGGAATTAGAAAACAAAGCTGCGATGTTACTTTCATCCCTCTCAGAAAGAGCTCTGGAACTTGATTTACATTGATTGCCTTTAATATACATGTATAAATTCTGGAGATTACATATGAGAGCTCCACGTTCTCACTGTGGAGGCTACCTTGCATGACCAAAACTTAGCATAATCCTTCTAAAATACAAATTTTGCTGTGATTTTGCTTGCAGGGATCCTTCATGCTTACACACTGCAGATCTTCAGTCCCAACGTGTTACTCTGCGCTTTACATCCCCTGGTAAGTTTTCACTGGCCACATTGGGAGTTGAAGGTGCCATATCAATATGGAACTGGAGTATTACACAATTTTACAAGAAATACAGCCCAAATACAGGGATCTATTCTTAGGTCATTTATTCTAATACCTCTTAGCAGGTGCTATTGCAAAGTCTCAGTTGCACTGACTGCAAAATCTGTATCCTGCTGGAAACCAGCTCTGTGGAGGCTGATATCAGCACACCTAACATGGGTATCTGCTGTGGTGGTTACTAATGAATAGTGATCGTCTTGTGTAATTCACATGGATAACATCTTCAAATTTTGGTGCCTAAATTTAGGCTCTTAAACTGTGTATCCAGGTATCTCTGGATGGGCTTCTGAGAGAAATTAGGTCATTGCAAATTCCATTGATTGCATTCAAAGTACTGGGTGGTCAGTACATTTTAAAGTGAGGTAACATATATTTCTGTTTAGGTTACTAAACTAAAGGATATGGCTTTGAGCATCACAGTTTGATGATACTAGTCTTAGTTGCCTTCTGTTTAGTTTCCAACATTCTCCATTCTGTGATTTTTCTGTGAAAATTGCCTGCAGATACCGATACATTTAATTATCTCTTAGTATTTAAGCCAGTGTGCTTCAAAGATAGGCTACATCACCCCTGTTTGTCCTAAGGAGTAGCTACACTTTGTTCTCTTTTTAAACTTCTGAGTATTAAACACCTCCAGAATAGGTACTGTCAGCCTTCCAGCAAGCCTGCAGCAACAGCCAGGGATTTTTCCTGGCTTCCAAAGCAGCTGCAAGTAGTGGTTTTCACACAGAATATTTAAGAAGCAGTTGAACAAGGGGAATTTTTTTAGTAACCCCCCAAAATTTATTTTCAAGATGGCCCAGGAGGGGTGTTAGAAGTAGGGAAACAGACTATGGGTGGACAAAGAGAAGATTTGCAGTCAGTCTTCCCCTTGCTAGTTTCATGCAGCCTTTTTTTAACTTGCACACCATATGCCATACATATGAAAATATGCTGTGTTATCTGTTGGCTGCATATTTCTGTGCATATCTTGTCTCTTTTCCTTATGACTCCCTTTCTGCCAGGAATTCAAAGCATATAAATTAGTTACTAGAAAGGAGAGAAATGGCAGACCTGTGTGAGCAACATTGGTTTTTCTGCCTCTTCAAGGAGTGCAGCGAAGGGAACCCAACCCTCTTAACTCTTAGAGGTATCATCATGTCAGGGAGCATTCAGGTGTGTGCTTACAGCTCTTTGCTTGGTGATCTTCTAGGAGGTCCATCCATCATCTCAGCATCTCCTTGCTGCACATCCTTCCCCACAAAGGTCTCGCAGGAGGAGCGATACAGAGCAAGGTCTCCAGTACACGCGCTGTTGACTGCTCCACTTGCTGACCTTGCAGCTCGCGCCAGCTCCTCACCAGAGCACAGACCATCCGTGAGGAAGTGTGGCTCTCCAGAGGGTGCAGCTGCAGTTCCCCAGATGGGTAAGTCCGGTCCCACTTAATAATCCAAAGAGTTTGGGTCTCTTCCCAGCCAGTACAGTAAAGGAGTTACAAACTATAGGTTAAATTCAGCCCTTCAGTAATTCTGTTGAAACCAATGCAGTCCCACCATCACTGGTACAGTCTTACACAGTTTATTATTGTGGTACCTGGACTTCATACTGCGTTTATTTTCTATATACTTTAGTAATATGTTGCCTACAGAATCCATTCACGTTGCTGAACATAATTACTCGTGATTCTGAAAGATACAGAGCTGACATGGCATCGGGCTTCACCTGTAGTCGCAGCAAATACAATTACACTGTGCAAATTTATTGAAACATTTGCTGATGGTTCATTTTAAAGCACTGCTGTAGCATTGTGGCCCGCTTACCTAAAAGTGATCTGGTCTTGCTTACACCAGCCTGGCTTTGCTACAAGGTCAAGGCTTATCTGTTGAAAGCACAGCCCTGCTGCAGTTCTGTTCAAGGAGAGGCTTTTTTCTGTGAAGAATGAATCGCGAGTAAAATACAGCAGCTAGTTAATGTGATATGCAAAGAGAAGGTAAGTGCCACATATCGCTGAATTTAAGAACTGGTAAATTGCTTCATTCGGGTAAATAGGCTCTAGGGATGCTTAACATCAGTATTTGCTGTAACAGAGGACACAGCTGCCTAATAGTAGTATTTTTAGTAGTTGTGGTGGTTCCTGTGGCGCATTTAGAAAAGTTCTGGGGTTTACTGAAAATACTGATGTAAGGCTGTGTCTGTGTGGCTCTTGAGTGGAAAAGAATAAGCCTACCTGCGTCACAAAATATGTATAAGGATGATGAACATTTTTAAGGTAGTCTGTTAATTACTTGTCAGTGAGCCAGGCTGTCAGGACTGTTTTATTGCATTTAAGTGGCAGAAAGACCCCAAAATGAGTAAATGCAATAGGAAAACAAGGTAAGCAATAAAGTTTTCACATAATACCTACCAAGTACCGTTTTTAAACATGCATTTTCTCTTTTCAAAGTCTGAAAATACCATAAGCACTGCAATAGCGATGTAGCACACCTGGCTCTAATTATTTCTGGTACAGGCTAAAATCTAACCATAGCATCACAGAATGTGAGGAGTTGGAAGGGCCCTGGAAAGCTCCCCCAGTGCAACCCCTGCCACAGCAGGATCACCAGAGCACTCACACAGGAACACGGCCAGGGCTTTGGGTGTCTCCACACAAGGACACTCCACAACCTCTCTGGGCAGCCTGGGCCATGCTCCATAACCCTCACACTCACAAACTTTGGCCTCATCTTCAGCTTGAACCTCCTGTGCTCCAGCTTGGGACCATTGCCCCTTGTCCTGGCATTGGCCATCCCAGAGCAGAGCCTGGCTCCTTCCTCCTGACACTGCCCTTTCCCAATGGATCCCCAGGAATGAGGGCACCCCTCAGGCTCCTCTGCTCCAAGCTCCAGAGCCCCAGCTCCCTCAGCGCTCCTCATAGCTCTGAGAAGTCCCAAGGGTCTGTCTGTCCTGCTTCTCAGGTGAATTTGTTGGTTCTTGGAGTTGTTTGGTTTTTTTTGGAATTTCAACCTAACTTTAGCATGTCTGTGTTGGGTTGTTACTATGTTAACACAGACTTCTCAGTGGCTTTTATCTTTTGCAGTTTAAAAACATCAGGGTTTCTTTACGCACACTGCTAGGACATGAACATAGTTGCTGGCTGACCTTTGCATCCCCCAGCTGTCTGGCTGTGCATATTTGGTAGCTAATCTGTATTTTCAATGCATGTTTCACAACTAAGAATTGCCTGCTCATAAGCAGAGCACAAATGTGCGTGGCATTGCCCCATCAAAGCGCTGAGCTGGCTGTGCGAGTCAGCACATCCTACCTGGATCTTCAAAGACTTGGAATTCCTGCCTTTAGTAAGGTGCCTTAGGAACTTAGGAAATAGCTTAGGTTTCCATCTGTAAAATGCAATTGATAATACTTCTTTCCTTTGTTCAACCCCTGCAGTCTTACTGGCAAAAAGGAATGTCTAAGTTGTGGGCATAAATACCGTTTTATTAACAAAAAGCACTCATTCCGTTCCCCAAATGGGGGGAATTATAGGCAGTATAGAAATAGGGTTGCATTCTCATTTAAACAGAAATACCATTAAGTACAAATTTCTGTTTCTTCTTGCTCATTTTCTTTGTTACTGGAAGTTTTATTGTTTGAAATTTTATTTTCTGAGATAGACTGTTTAAATCATTTATAATGACCCTGGTTTTTAATACCTGTGATAACATGTTGATGAATAATTTTCTCACTAGCTTCTCAGCCCACGGATACTACTGAGAATGTACCTAGGAGGCTGCAGAACAAGAAGGAGAGCCTGCTAAACCTGGTGGAATCATTACAGATGGAAAAGCAAGGTGCCAGAATTTACCAGAAATATTCCTATTTTATGTTAAATGGCCATGCTTTCCAGAAACTGTTCCTCTTACCTGCCAGAGCATTACCAGTGTTTTTGCATGAGGTCAGTTAAGATGTGCCTGTTTTATTAGCAGTACCCACTTCTACGTCATCCTGCTTCTAGGAGAATAATTAGATTAACTACACAGTGCAGTGTTGCTCAGCCCCTTAACTCTAATAAGCTTCAAGATCCTTAACATTTCAAACATGGCAACTGGTCAGGGGTGCTTTTGTGTGCTGTCACATCCAATTAAATGGCATTTTTAACAAGCTGCTGGCTTTTTCATGGAACAGAAAGATGCTCTGACAGCAGTAGACTCCAAATGCATAGTTTCCCAGCAGTGGCTTTACAAGCATATCCTTTCCTCACATTTTTTAAATCTGAAATGTCCACAGTGATGATGAGAGCTTTTCACCTTCTCTTCTTGATCCCTTAGCAGTCACTGGTGAAACACTCATGATTCTCAGTGATGGCAGGAGCCAAAGCGAGATGCAATTTCTTTTCTTTGCACTTTCTGTTACTGCACATTGTAGTTGCTTTCACTTTACATCTCCCTTCATAGATTTGGGAAATAATTATTTCCCTATATCATACAGCGCATACATGTCAAGGACATACAAGTAACCTGATTTAGCTAAAACTCAAATTATTTCATGTATAAGTTAAATGTTGTCATTTTCATTCTTTGCAGCAGTCACTGGTGAAACACTCATGATTCTCAGTGATGGCAGGAGCCAAAGTGAGATGCAATTTCTTTTCTTTGCACTTTCTGTTACTGCACATTGTAGTTGCTTTCACTTTACATCTCCCTTCATAGATTTGGGAAATAATTATTTCCCTATATCATACAGCGCATACATGTCAGGGACATACAAGTAACCTGATTTAGCTAAAACTCATCAAATTATTTCATGTATAAGTTAAATGTTCTCATTTTTATTCTTTGCCATCCATTGCCATCTTCAGTTTGCCTGTTTTCAATATCCATGTAAAAGTACATATTCATAACTGTAATGTATCAAGAGTTACTGTATGAAAGAGATGGGGAAAAAAGCTTTTTATGTGCTAAGTAATCCCATTTCCATGAGCATTGGGCCAAAGGTATTCATTTCACACTCTCCCATAAGAAAGACTGAAATCAATAGCATTTTGCCACCACTCCAGCATTTGACACTTTGGTTTTGCAAAGGAGATGAGACTGGTGCCTGTTTATAACTAGGTTTATCTTTTATGTTAAGACCATGCATATAAAGAAATGCAGACTAAAGTTGGGTTTGATAAGTGCAGTGTCATGCGTGGGAGGATATTGCAAAGCTTCAGGTGTCTGCACCTGGGGCCTCAATCATTTTAACACAGGGTGGTGGTCAGATAATGTGTTCTTGCTGCTCTTCTCAGCCCTGTCATCCATGATCAGAACTCAGGAGATGAAGACAGAGAAAGCAAAGGAAAAGGAGAAAAAGCTGTCAAAGTGAAGATGCTGTATACATGAGTGATTACTTCCATGTATGTACATTGTGTTTAAAATACGTTATACTTTTAAAGATTAATGAGAAGAAAAACTCAGTTTTGTACTTTTTGCCTTGAACCACGACACTCTACAGGTTTTACTTTAAAACGAGTGGTAAGTACAGAGGAGTAAAAACTCATGCACACATTGTCCATAGCTGTGTTTTGAGTTCGCTGGCCATGGCACATTGCTGTCTGCTTCAGCTTCCAGCACTTCTTCCATGCATTCTGGTTCCTGCACACCATTTCTGGTCCTCTTTTTTAGAACAGTAGTTCTGAAGTGGTTTGTTGGGCATTTTTTCTTATTCTAAAATAAATTCATTTCCCCTCCTGCTGTACCTCATGTCATTAGTTCAATAAATTCTGATTCATCTGCGTGTCCCAGAACTGCCGAGTATTTCCAATAAGAGCAGGAAACCTGCCTGTGGCTCCTGTTAATGTTGGGATAAAGTGTTGAACCACATACCTACAGCTGCACAGATTCCATCCTATGCCATAATTCCTTTAAACAAAAGGGCCTCATGAAGTGGTATTTCATGTGTCATTTTCACTGCTTGTTAAGATGTTTGATTTCATTCCTGGTACAAATTTGAGGGTTCCCAGTCTGCCCTGACATTAGCTTTATAAGCATAGCACTCATATTTTGACTTTACAGCTGAGAGTGTATATGTTTCTAGTTTATTTGGGACTTTTGTCCTTCCTCAGTCTCCAAAATTAGGTGAAGTTAAGCAGAAAAAAAAAATGCATTTTGAATCTATACTGAATTCTTTCCTGTAACAGTCTAGCATGACTTAAATCCTAGGCTCTACCACCCATAAATAAAATAAGAATACCTGAGCCTATTGCTTTCAGTTGAGGCACCAAACCACACGACTTTCTCTTAATACGAGTGCCTAAGAATAAAGTTGTTGAAGGCCATTCCTAGTGTAAGATTAAAAAACAGGAAGGAATGCTGAGCATATCTGACATACATGAATTTATTTGAAAACCTCCCGTGTCTTTTGATTGATATTTGAGGATTACAGCAGTGGGCAAATGACTTACTGCATTTAAAAGACTATCCAAGGGTAAAAACACAATTCCAAAGCAATCAGATGAGCAGGATCACTAAAGTATCAGATTGATGTTTAAAACCTGATAAATGCTGGGAACCAAGATAGGTGTAAAAAATAAGGGAAGAAGAATGTGGTAGTCATCCCAACTTGAGTACTTTTCCAGGATTTGCCATTTCATTGGCAAGAGCAGATTAATGGTGCTGTGCCCCTTCAGAGCCAAGCAAGGCTGGCTAAGAAATTGGTCACAGAGGCTGCTGGCCCAGTAGCAGGAGAGCCCTTGCTATAAATACCACAGCTTGGACTTGTTATATGTATTTCACAGGTCTACCTATGTTCTCGTATGAAAAGGTTGAGGTGTAGAGAGGGAGAGCATATATTCGCTCTGTAGCCCAGCAGATTGGAGATCAGGGAAGAGTGTACTCAGTGTTCAATAAGCTAAGCTGGATACAGCCTGGGCTTTGCAGCACAAATAGCACTTTGTTATTCCATGTTACACAGGTGGATGACAGGAGGCCTGTTAGGCAAATCTTGACCGCATCAGGACACCACAGATGGCAACCAACCCCTTACAGAAAGCCTAATGCCAGTCTGCTGTTTTTTGAATGGAGCATTTGGAGAGACTCCAGACAGTAAGTGTGTAACTCACAGACTGAAGGTGGGATGGGCATGGCTTTTGCAAAGGCACCTGCAAAGTTAATGGGAGGCAAACAAGTTGCAATGCAAGTTTCTAGATGTGACTTTTAAACTGGTTTATGCCCAGAGAGAGCCCAGTACCCATTCTGGCCTCAGGCTGCCTGCTCAGCTTAACCATCCAGCTGTGCAGCATGGAGCACTTGTACCCCAAACTACTTCACAAATAGGAGCAGATTGCATTTCACATAAAATTAATCAAATTGTCTGATTTGTCAGAAGTTTGGTGTGAACAGTGTGAGCAGGTGAACTGAGAAGGTAGGCCTGTGCAGTCTTTCTGGCATTTCCACACTCCTGAATGAGGGAGTTTGTTATTTGCTTTTAGAAATCCTGGGCTGCTGGCTGCTAGGCTGTTACATTGACATAGGAATGTCAACAAGGACTTGTTTCTCACATGCAGCTGCACTGGTCTCACAGCCAGGAGATGTATTAGACAAGGCGTCATCATCATTTTTAATGAAGCAAGGCTACTTTTAAATATCTGCCTTCAGGCTTGAGTGAATAAATGGTTCAGTCTTGTGAAATCACCTCTGTAAACTTGGAGAATCAGCTTCTCCATTTAACTAACATTTTATTTACGTAGCATAGGCCCCACTGGGCGCACAGCAATGTGAATGACAATAATTTAGAGGTTGCAGCATCAAAAGTAATTATAAGCATGTATTCAGTGCAGGTCTTTGTAGCAACCTTCCTTGATCACTCATGAAGGTGATGCAATTACGAGGATGATGCACGCTGTCTGGGATCAAAGTGCAGGGTGTTTAATTAAAAATAAATTGTCTTCCATTTGAGAGACTTCTCAGGGTTAGTCTGTCTGAAATACATTCATCATTGCATTAGAGGATCTATTCTAGTGTAGGTTAAGTGGCTTCCTAGTGAGCATCTTAATCTAATACCACAGTTAAATCTTCTCAGACCAGC